GCATCAAATTTAAACTCCTCCTTACCCTGACCTACAAAGCCGTTCACAACACTGCCCCTGACTACCTCACCAATCTGATCACCAGGTACCACCCTACCCGTACCCTTCGCTCCTCACAGGACCTCCTTCTATCCTGCTCCCTGGTCCCCTCCTCCCATGCACGACTGCAGGACTTCTCCAGGTCCTCCCCATCCCCTGGAACTCACTGCCCCAATCCCAGACTGTCGCCTTCTCTATTCACATTCAGGCGCCCCCCCCAAAACCCCCATCTCTTCAGGGAAGCCTACCCCACCCTCACCTAACGAAAACAACCCCTCATTCCTCCCACCCACTTCATCCCCCCCCAGCCACTTCCACCCCCACCTTTACCCCCTCCCTCCTAGATTGTAAGCTCGTAAGAGTAGGGCCCTCTTACCAACCCCTCGTTACCCCTCTGTCTTTGTTGTACCCCCCAACGTATTCAACCCCCCCTATTGTACAGCGCTGAAAAAACCCTTTGGCGCATAAACTCGTAGTAATAATAATAATAATAATACACATATACACACACACACACGTACACACACCACGTACACACATACATGTACACATATACACACACACACACCACATTACCAACACATGTACACACATACATTACACATACACACATGTACACACATACATGTACACATACACACACATGTACAACACATACATGTACACACATACAACCACACATATACACACATACGCACACAACATGTACACACATACACACACACACCACACACACACAACACACACACACGTAACCCCCCAACACATGTACACATACCACACACACATATACACACATACATGTACTACATACACACACACACACACACATACAAAACACATACACACACATGTACACACATACACACACACACACACATGTACACATACACACATACATACACACCATACACGCACACACACACACATACATGTAAACACATACAACACACACATATGCACATACACACACATGTACACATATACACACACATGTACACACACACATGTACACATAACACATGTACACATATACACACACACACATGTACACACATACATGTACACATATACACCAACACATAACACATACATGTACACACACACATGTACACATACACACACACACACGTACACACATACATGTACACATGTACACATACACACATACACACACACACACACACACACACCACATGTATACAGCATTATCAAAAGTTACAGTACCTTACCTCTTCCATCCCACCCAGGTACTGCACTCTAGGGGGAGGCAGAAAACACCAAGACACACTCCCACAAAATTACTTTCACTTTGCTCAGCGGTCTGACGGCTCCCAGTGCCGGCGTACACACAAAAACACAGCTCAAACACAAGTGACAGTACACACATACATGTACACATACACACATGTACACACATACATGTACACATACACACATGTACCACACATACATGTACACACATACACCACACATATACACACATACGCACACACACATGTACACACATACACACACACACACACACGTACACACATACATGTACACATACACCACACATATACACACATACATGTACACATACACACACACACACACACACATACATGTACACATACACACACATGTACACACATACACACACACACACACATGTACACATACACACATACATACACACATACACGCACACACACACACATACATGTACACATACACACACACACACATATGCACATACACACACATGTACACATATACACACACATGTAAACACACATACATGTACACATACACATGTACACATATACACACACACACATGTACACACATACATGTACACATATACACGTACATACACACATACATGTACACACACACATGTACACATATACACACACACACGTACACACATACATGTACACATGTACACATACACACATACGCACACACACACATACTCGTACACACACAGGCACATGTATACAGCATTATGAAAAGTTACAGTACCTTAGCTTCCATCCCACAGCCAGGTACTGCACTCTAGGGGGAGGCAGAGAACACAGAAGACACTCCCCTTCCCTTTGCTTTCACTTTGCTCAGCGGTCTGACGGCTCCCAGTGCCGGCGTACAGTGCGGCTGGGGATCGGGAGCTCAGACACAAGTGACAGCCATTCTCCCCACGGCACCCCTGAAGACCTTTGGTGGCACCCCGGGGTGCTGTGGGACCCCAGTTGAGAAAGGCTGCTTTACTGCACATTTTACTGTTTTGAGTTTATTAACACTTTAATTCCAAAAACAAAAATGTAATATATTGCAGTTTACTAATCCTTTAATGTGGTGGCTACATTCATTTTCTTTTTTAGGATTTTCTCACCTTTGCTTTCACTTGGTGATCTGGCCATTAACATACTTCCTGTCATGGTGTGTCAAAACGGCAGATGGAAGAGCAACAGAAACACAGCAGCATTAGGCCTCATGTACACATGAGCTTTCCTTAGATGTTTAGCTCTCCTGGCAGCAGAAAAACACAAAGCACAGCACAGTATTTCCAACTGACATGAATAAACGCCCAAGCGCTAAACCCATCTAGCGTTTAGACGTGCTTTTGCAGCGTTTAGCGTTTTTTTGCCAAAACGTTCCTCTCATGAACGTATAAGAATCACGTTCAGGAGAGGAACATTTAACTGTCCCAAAAACTCTGGTAAAAGCCTATGTGTACTTGGACAGAACAAAGGCTTTTATTGAGTTGAGTTCAGGGGCTTTGGCAAAAAACACCAAAATCTCCTAAACTCAAGTTTTGATAACTCGCAGAGCTCTCGTGGTGAAAGACAGAATAATTATGCAATGACGTACACAGCCAGCAGTCAATATGTCTGATTCAAATGTTTAATAGATCGATAAAACCAAAATCACCATATTCCAAAAAATCCATGTGGTAGTATGACACAAAAGGATTGGCACAAGTCACATGCTAAAAGGAATGATGGAAGCGACTTACCTGAATGTAGACTAGATGCTAAACTCCACAGATGGAAAGGTTGTAAAAGGGCAGCAATTGGTGGGGAATGTGTCCACAAACCAATGGTCTAGTGAGATGTCACTTGGGAGATCAGAAGGCCTCCTTCGTGTCACTGAGGATCGCGCACTGGAAGTGACGTCATGGCGCACCAGAAGTGACGGCACGGCGCACCGGAAGTGACCTCAATGGAGCGTAGGAAAGCTAATGGCAACCATCATGATTCCTCAGCAGGAAGGAGACTGGCCAAAACATATCCCGGTTACCATGACAACGCTTTTAGCACAAATCAGTGCTTTGTCGCAGTCCTAAACTTTAAACTCAAGTTTTAGGAACAGCAGTGTACAAGAGTTCTTAGATGTCCTAGTCACAAACAGCGAACATGCAATGTCTCTTCTGCAGTAAGATGTACCTATCTGCCTGCTTGCGTTCTTCTCTGACATGACACTGAGCTGTGCATGTGCATCTCAGCTTACACCATTGGCCTGGTCCATTAAAGCCAATCTTCAGTTGATACTTATGAAGCACTTACAGCACATTTTTTCCCTATTGGGATAAATATTTTACATAAATGAGTAAGAGCTGATCATTGTAAGCACCCATCAGTGTTAAATAGTCTATCTTAACTGTCTAACTGCCATGTTTCCTAAACAGCCTAGTCTGTTAAAGGAAAATTAATAATACCAGACTTAGGCCGGCCATACATGGGTTGATTTCCGAATGATTTTTAGTTCGAAAATCGGACCTAAGAACAATCGGCCAATTTTCGCTCTGTTAGTTGGGCAATTGCACCGGATGATTTTTGTGGTTCCTCCCCATTTCGTTTATCGGGCATGCTGGAAAATTTGTGAAAATTGACCAATTTTTTAAATCATTGGTGGCACCATCGGATTACAGAATGAAGGATGTTTACAATTTTCAATCGAAAAATCGTTTGGAATTCGACCCATGTATGGCCTGCTTCACTAGCCAGATTACCAGGTGAAAATAAAAGGAAAAAAGCTCTAAAGAAGAAAACCACCGCATCTGAGAATGATTGGACTTGAATAGAATATACATTCTATTTGATTTGGGGGATTAATACAGTTTTAGTTGTCTGGCATTTAATTCTAAGCCACAAAAAGGTTTTCTACTTTATCAATAAAATGAAAAACACAAACTTTCTCAAGCTCTAATGAGTCATATGTATGCCAGTCACCAAGCATTTCTAAACTAAGAGGAATGCAAAAGAGCACAAAAGAGACTGAATTAACAAAGGATGCAAATGAAAACCTGATTTCAAATGCCAAATACCCAGACCTGGAAAAAATTCTCAAATATGTAAATTGTAAGAAGATGAAGGAGAGGTTTGGGTCTTTGAAAGCTAAGATGACTCAGATCATTATCTTACCCAGCTCACCTTTCAAGGGCTCAAGACGGGGATAAAGAGAATGCAGAAGTATTACATTATTATATTCACTATAAGGAGGAACCAGATGGCATACACCCGAGAGTACTGTACTTAGGCAACTTAGTTCAGTGACAGGCAGAAGACTATTTTTATTTCTAATCTTCAGGAACTCAACTTATTCTGTTGCAGTGCCATAGGATTAACAGAAAACAGATGTAGTGGCGGTATTTAAAAGGGAAATGAGATTTCAGCTGAAGAATGGCATACCTGTGAGCATGACAATGATAGCCAGATTGGAGAAAATGAGGGCTGCCTGTAGTAAAGGATTTTTATTTTCAAAAGTAGTAGTTTAAAGAGACCCTGTCATCAAAAAAAGAAAAAAATATCTGCTGTAGGTAAAAAAAAATATAGGCAGTGATTAATGCTTGAGCATACCTACAATAGCCTCTAATACCATGTTATACTTCATGCAGTTCTCACAGTCGAAGCAATAACACCTCCAGGTAATGTCAAAGGCTGCATGTACCTCCCACCCAGGGACGGACTGACAACTCATGGGGCCCCCGGGCAATAGGGGATTATGGGGCCCCTGTGTCCTTGCCCAAACTCAAAAAAAGCCTATGAAAAAGGTACCAGGGGCATCTCATGGGGCCCCCTACTGACCCTGGGCCCTCGGCCAGTGCCCGAGTTTCCAAATGGTCAGTCCACCCCTGCTCCCACCCCACACATTTTTTATGGAGTATCACCATGATGAGCTACTTCATTAGCCAATAGAAATGTGCAGGAGAATGATGGGAAGAGAAGCTATGGCACTTACCTTGCAGAACGGCTTGGCGCTCAACCATAAAATCTTATTTAGGGATGATTTGTGTAATGCACAGACCGGATTGGTCCAGGGATTTGATCCCTTAAGTGTGCAAGCAGCCAGGCACAAAGTATTTTGTCTAGGGGTATCAAATTTCATTCAATCCTCAGACAGTGTCTAGGTAGGGGCTGTTCAATTTTTGTTGTTTTATTTATTTCGTAGAACTTGGGTGGGGATTGGAAAGAGCTTTGGGATGTCTGGAATTAGAGAACTTGCTGAGGACACTATCTTGAAACAAAGGAACAACACATGGCAGAGTTTTCTTCCACAAAAGATTAGCAACAGCTTCCAACACAGTGGGGCTTCCTCTAAGGCGCAGCCCTGGTAGCTAGGTCAGGAACAGTCCCTCTATCCAGAAGGGGTGTACAAGCAACAGTCACTCTCTAAGGATTCTCTGTGGCCTGCTTGTGATCCGTGTCACAAAGTATCCCACTCTGGATGTTGCCTTGATGTTCCTGCAACTTTAAAGGATGACTCTTCTGTGACGAACGCGGCGTCAGACCCCTGACCTTCTCACCAAACTTGTGACCGAAGGACCAGCCAATCTAAAGCTGCGTAATAATGCCACTCCCCGCTGCACCCTGCACAACGATTTTCCAGCTAATTGGACCACAATATATGTACCGGCAGCCTGGGAACGATTGTTACTGGGTCAGGTTAATTACACAATTAACCCTTCACACTGCCACCACCTCCTTTTTGTACAGAGAAAGAGGAAACTCGGCGATATCAGCTATAACACTATAATGGTTGAGATAATCGTCTGTATAACACTGCCACCGCAGACCGGTTATACAGAGGGTTAAACAAACACAGTAGCGCTCTTTATAGAGGCAGGAATTCGTAAATTGCAATAAAAAGCTATAGAAACAGTTCAACACTTTCAGAAAGAAAGATTTATTACTAAAAGGTCAAAAGGGTGCAATAAAAATATTTACAGAAAAAAGATGTAACCAAAATATATATAAATATACAGAGAACAACAGCACAGCAAAGAGATAACAGAGAGAAGTTAGAGGGTTAAAGTACTTGCCAGAATCCTGGGTTAGCAGATCAAGTTTCAGAGCGAAAGGGCACGGGTCTTCCCAGGTGGTTCTGATGTTAAAAGGGAGAATTCTTCAACTTAACTATCTTAGGCCTGACAACCCATTTTGTAGTTCCCCAGCAGGGGGGGTGTCTCTGAAGTCAAGGACCAATACCCCATTTAGGGAGGGATCGTCTGGGCGTAGGCCTAAACTAGAGCCAAAATCTCTTCTAGTTCATATTTTGGCTCATAACTTTCCTTATGCACAAGTGACATTCCACCCGCGGGTAGATTATTATGCAGACACATCTGAGGAATGCTTAGATATGAAATATGAAATTATACACTGAATGATTCAAGAGATCTACTTTCCTGCTTTCCTATGTATTCCAGCCAAAGAGAGTGACCTATCAAACTGTTTGTCTCCTCGTGGCCAATCTGAAGATATGCCTGGTTTTTTTATGTAAGTCTCTGATATTCCAAGATATGAGACATAGGGGAAAAATGGATTTTAAAAGTGTTATCTGGTTCGTGCTTCTCCAGAATGTCTTTGAACTCCTGGGAAGGCTTGCGTTATCTTTTACGAGGTGCTATATTGCACAGCTCTCTTAGACAACCAGGCACTTCGGGGCTCCCTGCTGGGCTCTGGCCTGTGACACTTTTTAACACACAGGCCATATGTCAATGTGTATGAACAGAGAGGAAGGGGGGAGAATGACGAGAAAAATATGGAGAATTCTTAACAAAATGGAGGGCCGTGTCTGCCTCTGGTGTGCACTATTGCAACATCTTCTACTCCTTTGTGAGCTAGAGACATCCTAGGATTCCTTTGTTCCTTTTCTAAACCTAGGAAGGTTTGTCAGCACTTCCAGGCTGGGTCAATCTCCTGCTGGTGAAAGACCCTGCTACTCTCTGCTTTCATCCTTATATACCACTCTCAGCCCTCTAGTGACCACTTTTCTTGACCAGGGAATGGCTGAGTCTGTATACAGGGCCAGCTCAGACTCTGCCCTCTCCTACTCACTATGTTTCCAGAAGATTCTGGAGAGACAGAGAGAGACAGGCCAACCTGTAGCTTTAGAACTCAGAGTAGGCAAAACACAATTATGTCTCCATTTCTAACAGCAGAGACAAAAAATTAATTTGACTCTCTTTTAGCAGCTAAACTAGGAGGTTGATACCCCCTACACACATACACCACACCCACACACACACCAAAATAGGCCCTGTCCTCAGGGGACACCTAAATAAAAACATTGCTGTTGAGCCCAAGAGCTTGGCATCCCAAAACTAAAAATGAGGGGTTAGCGAAACACAACAGTATAAAAATAGAAATGTACAATAAATAAATACATCTTTGCATATGTACATATTTCCAAAAATGGAGCTTCACACCTGGCCTGTGTAAAGGGGACCCCTTAGCAGAAGGACTCCCGAAAACAGGTATTTATATTGTTTAATACATTAACATTCCCACCAGCTAACTAGAATTCTATTCTATCTAGTAATATAAATTTTAAGGCAAAATTCAGCAACATGACAATGTGATACCTTAGCCGAGGTACAGTATGCTGCTTTTTTGCAATAATGCAGGAAAAGAAGTAATCCATATAACAAAATAGTAAACATCCTATCTAAATGTCCTAGGGTGCATTCTCTCCAAAGAGGCGACCCACCCACAAGAAAAATAGCCTGGCATAGTAGCAGCAATATTCACATCCAATCAGTAGCATGACAACTGCCCCCTACGGGTGAAACTCCTGACTCGAGGTTATTCAGAGCTCTGAAAGAGAGCACAAATCAACATTCTAGCTATCTACATACCTGTCTACACTATACATTCTTCCTTGCCAACAGTTGACTGTCCTTATCAGGGGGTTATAAAGTCAACAGTCTCTGCAACAAAATTTTCTGAGCCAGGCTCTGTAGCCCATACTCCATGTAGCCCAGCAAGCGTATAAGAGCACATTAACTCCTGTCAGCGCTCTGGGGATTGGATGGAGGTTTTCCACCTGTAGACACTTTTTAATCAGGCCAAGGTAAGAAGGGACCTTGAGCAGTTCAGGATAATGACTGCCGAAAATGAACAACTTTCTTTCTCTTTTGATCTCACCCATAGGATCCTAGAGGATGAGAGTGTGTACAGCACTGGTAAGAAATGTAGGGTGGATAGAGCCTGCAAAGCTGAAGACCATACAGAATAATCTAGTGCTGACGGTGAGGGCCACTGCAAACTTTGTTCTGGCTTCTTCTGGCCTCTGTCAGCATTCTAGAATAAACGTGGGTGGTCTCTGCCCAAACTCAGCAACAGTTCTGTTGAAGCAGCAACTGAAAAAATTAAGCTTATGGTGCAAATGGCCAGGCTTCTTCTGGCCTACAAGTAGAATTCATGGTGGGGGACCTGGACCATCCAGTTGATTGGACCCCAGATATTCACAGATCTTACATGGACAGGTCTGTCCTGTTTCTTAATTAGCACTCTGTGCTTAAAGATAAACCTGCCCCAGCTCCAACTGCGGTTGATGCTGCAGAACTCCTCCCAGTACTACATGGAATCTGGGAGGTGATGGGGCTTGGGCACATGAATGAACTCCCAAACTTCAGCTACACACCATTTTTCTCTAAGAGTCTCCACCTCATCCATAACTTTTGGAGGCACATGTGGGTATTTGAATCCATAGTCCAATGCCCCTGTTTCCTGAACAATACATTGTTTTTGGGAAAAACATGAAAACTTGTCTTTCACTCTTCTGCCTGGCAGAATGAAAGGGTTAGTGGCCCTCTTGATCAGCTGGTGGTGGGCCTTGCTTTGGGCTAGAGCCCTAAATGATTCTTATATCCAGAAATGAAGAATCTAGCATCAACAAATATCATTCATTTAATAATTTATTTTATTGTTTAAAAGCCAAGATTAAAAACATATCAAAATGCATGTCTAAATATCAATCGGATACCTTCAGACCTAATGTCATACGTATAATTATCATATCTTTGTATAAGACCAGTTTGGATTCTCAATCAAAGCTGGGAGCTCTCAGAGCTTTAACACTAATCCTACCTATAACCCTAACACTATCACACTAATCCTCCCTGTTGCCCCTTTACTAATCCTCACACTACAGACCATGTCAGATGGGTGATTCATTTACAGTGATCAAAGTTATTTTCTTGTGGAACCACCAACTCAATAATATTATAGTGATTTGCATCTGAGTCACTCAGTTATTGAATATGAGCAGCTTTTCAGATCAGCAACCAGCTCAATAGCAACAATTGCTCTGCATTCACCTCTATGGCTTAGGTAGAAATAGCTGAAAGAGAGCAATTTGTAGCAGAGCACACTAACCCAATGTGGTAGCACTAATTTAACTTTTAGCAGTGAAAAATGCTTCTTAGCGACCAGGGGCGGACTGACAACTCATGGGGCCCCCGGGCAATAGGGGATCATGGGGCCCCTGTGTCCTTGCCCAAACTCAAAAAATCCTATGAAAAAGGTACCAGGGGCATCTCATGGGGCCCCCTACTGACCCCAGGCCCTCTGGCAGTGCCCGAGTTTCCAAATTGTCAGTCTTCCCCTGTTAGCGACAAACTGATAGCAACTCACTACATATTGCCGTTAATTGCTCACAATAGCAATTTGTAGCAGTGATAAATCTCTGTACCAAATTGCACATATGACCTGGATCTTACCATCCCTGTAACTTTAACATTTATCCTAACTAAGGATGAGCTCTAGTTTGTTCAGGATTTTGTCTGGATGCTGGTTTTTGAGCCTGTTTGGCAGGAGCCAAACTTCATATATGGTGGAGTGTTAGCTACTATATGACAGGTTTCTTCTTCCAGTGTCAATGGATGGTATTTGGCCCCATTCACTTGCTGGCCGGGAATCCCTGACCATGGGGACAATTACAGCCAGTTGCATGTGTATAGTCTGTGAGTTCAGTGTTTGTGAATTGTTTCTAGTGCAGATCATCCATGCTATGTGAAGGGTCCGAAGTCAGTGGGTAAATGCATGCAGAGACTGTGTTGCTATAGGATATTGTTGCTTACTGTCCAAAGTGCCACGGACATGCAAATGGAAGAATTAAAGGTGAAAAACTTCTTGAATGTCAGCATTGGCTGTTGCTATGTTGTGAAACTGTACTGTCCAGCCAGCAGAGAGTTTCCCTGCAGGGCGGGAAAAGTGCGGCAGTCGGTGAACAGATGCTGTGTACAGTTATGGACCGATTGCAGGTAGGCAATCGGAATATTGATGATGCTTGGTGCCACAGTGGAGGATGCCCACACAACAGCCAGCAAGGAAAAACTCCATTGTGGGCATGCAAGGGTTAAGATGCGGCACAGGAAGAAGGAAGACGCCAGAGGAAGCTGCTCAGAGAGGGGTGAAAATCCCACCCGAGCACCATCCAGTGAGGAAGAAAGGTGGAGCTGCCACCAGTCTTGCACAGTCAGAAAAAGAGGGTGGAGCAGCCATGTCATTTCCAGAGGCAGAGGAGAGAGACTCACGTGGTGGGTGCAGCAAGATGGCAGGGTATATGCCGTTCTACCAGCCAGGCTGCAAGCCACGTAGAGTTCATGGAGCTGCCACAGGAAAGTGCTTGACTGACACGGGTGTGAGGTTGGTGCTGAGCAGCAAACTAGCTCTTGGTACTATCTGAGAGGCCGGACACTCATGTGTAGTTTGCGCTATGTACAAGGGGCTGATGGCAGGAATCCGATTCTGGAGCTGGTGTGGACACTGTGGAGAACAACTGTTTCATCTCATACAGGAGAATCCGCCACCTGCCACATACACAGTGAACTGGCTTCTGCGCGGAAGATTAGTGTTAACGCTAGTAGAGATAGGTTAAAGGTTAGCTTAAGAATGTTAAACTGGCTATAGATCGATCTTTTTATCAGCCATCCAGCTGTTAAAAAAAAAAAAGAACAGATTCCCCCTCCACTTATTCAAGGCAAATGAAGGAATCCTTCCCGCTGTGCTACTGCACTCTGACAGCGGGACTCGTCCACTGTCAGGATATCAGAATATATTGTTCAGTGCTGCAGCCAATTGGCTGCATGGGCTGAATGAATGAACATTTTTCAACATTCCTGTTTGTTGTAGCAGGAACAGCCATAGGTGCATTGCCATTAGGCAAATTAATTAATAAAACCCAGCACTATAATTAAATAATATTGTACTAGGTTACCCTAGGTTCACATCTAAGCGTTTTCTGCAGCGTTTTGCATTTTGCGTTTTTGCAGAAAAGCAGTACAGTCCAGTTAATATGATTTCCTATGGGACATGTTCACATCTGAGCTTTTTCACCCGGTGCATTTTTTGGAAAGGGTCAGGGACTTTTTTGAACGCAAAAAGTTTCATTTTTGGTTCTATAGACTTGTTGCAGAAAAGCATGTATTGCGTTTTTGCTGCATTTTTACAGCAAGGCAACGTTTCGGAGTCTCGCAGGACCCCTTCATCAGGCATGTGACACATGCCTGATGAAGGGGTCCTGCGAGACTCCGAAACGTTGCCTTGCTGTAACTATGTGATGGTTTATTAAAACCTTTGGACCCATATTGGTGATCCTCGGTTTGCTGGTGACATTTTTTTCTTGCTGATTTTGTTCGCTTCCAGCCGACGGTCACTGCAGCACCCACTTATACACACAGCCATTTTTTAACGCAGGAACGTGTGCGTTTGGATCATACACTTGTTTTCTGCATTTTTGCCACATTATTGATGTGTTTTGTGGTTTAAATCTGCAACAAGAACATTTTAAAAAATGAAAAAAAAAAAACTAATGCAAAACGTGTAAAAAACACAACTGCAAAAATGCAAAACGAAACGCAATGCAGAAATGGCTCAAACGCAACCTGCATAGTTGTGAACCTAGCTTTATTTAGTGAACTATCTATAGCCTAATCTGCAGTAACTGTGTACGTTCCTATGACTTATAAGCAATACTAAAGCTGTCTAAGTCATTTTTACCATTTAGTTTCATATCATCTAGACATAATCAATGTCTATAAACTCTTTATTTCTATTTGTATGTTATGGAGGAGAAAGTTCCCAGAACCAATACCACCCATGGATTAATTAAAACAAATTGCTTTAAAGGCGAATGTAGAAACGAGAGAAATACATTCTGTCTGCGAATAAAAAGTTTCTTCTTTTCATTTATTAAATTCAGAAAAGTTTTCTCTGCTTTCCAAGTGTCACACTGAAATTTTGGCAGTGCTAGTGAGCTGGGAAGAAATGCATGACTCATGTTTTATATAACTACGTACTAAATAATGTATCACATTGTCATAATTATTTTGTAGCTTCTTAACTCAGCTAAAAAGCAAACTTGTTCTTCTAGTGTTCCTAGAACATTCCTGACTAAAGTACAGTTCCTAAAGTTAAACAAAGCCTGTTATGAGAATAACATGGAGGCTGCCACTGACAACCTCTTTCTGCAAAAATGATACTTTGTGGTTGGAATACTGACCCTTTTGTTTCAGTACAAGAATCTACGCATATAAAGATGGATTATTGCTGATGTTTGTGATGTACTTCCTGATTCCATATCAATGACGTAAAAAATAGGGAAGGCAGAAGCTCATTTTCAGAACGAGGCAGCAATTGCTATTTCCCTAATTCTCTTGGGTTAATTTTAGGTCAAACAACAGCAAAACAATTTTTAGCTTTTGAATGTGTGAAAGAATTAAATCCTATGTCAGATTTTTGTTACTGTTTGTCTTGCCACCAGAGAGTTTTTTCATCACTTCTTGTCATTGGGATACCAACATCAAAAATGAAGGAAACAGATGCCAGTGGAATAAGAAGATAGATGTAGCAATAAAAACCTGATAGAGGTTCTAACACTTACAACTACTTATCAACAAGGGATATGTTGAGGTCTTTGTGCCCATTGGAGAGAGTTCCTATGACTTTCCCTCTCTAGGACATATTGTCACCAGAACAGGAGGCACTGGTAAATATCTCTTTCACTTAATTTTGAATGAAAAAGATAGGCAAAGTAAACATACAACCAGTACACTTTGGGTTGTGGTGTAAGATACAGTCAATGGAAATTAACATTATGGCAATGGTATATATTCAACAACAAACCTGGTCCAACCTTTCTCTGCTCAATGGAAAAAAAAGTTTTGGCGGGATTTGGCCTTTAATTGTTCATTGTTCTTAAGTGTAAACTTAAACCTTTAGGCTCTACTCTAGCTTTGTGCATTAATGAACAGTGGCTAAATGGTTAGTACTTCCATCTGGAAGCATTAGGGGCATTGGTTTGAAGCCCAGGTACAACCTGCCTGAGGTTTGCATGTTTTCCCTGTGCCTGTGTGGGTTCCCTCCCACACTCCAAAGACATGTTGGTAAGGTAAATAACCCTAGTATATGTGAATGTGAGTTAAGCCAAGCACACCTTATGAGAAATTCTGATGACCGATCGGAATGTCGGAATGGGACAAAGGCAAACATAGCTATGTACTAGCATAGTAGAAACGGAAGTGTAGTGTTGTCCTATGCTTCTGATCATGTACAATTTTTTTTCTATTCAGTTATCTCCCTACAATTACTGTACACATGAAACAAAAATCGAAAATTGTGTTCATATACAATAAAAAATTTCTAGCTTGCACCCTTGGTTTTTGTCATCTGAAAAGTCAGAATCAGCTGTCGAAACTATTACTAACGATCAGATAATCGGCTGATCATTTCTCGTACGGGAAGTTTTGTACAATTTTCTTACTACTATGTGTATGGGCTATTAGGGACCTTAGACTGTACGCTCCTTGAGAGCAGGGAGTGATGTAAATACAGAATATAAAGAGCTGTATAAATTGTCAGCGCTGTATAAATACCTGTAATAAATAATTATTGCTTGCTTTTTTTGTATCTTGACATTAAGACCGTTTTTTCTCCAGCAGTCCAGAAGAGATAATTTGGGCAGGCCTGACAACATTGATTAGGATTTTAGTACAGCAAAGATAGTGTAGTCAGCTCAAACAGGAAGTTAGGAGCTCCTTGGATTTCTGGCATCATCAACTAGTACTTTTCTGTACTTGCAGCATTATAGAGAGACAGAACATGAGCAAATGTGCATGTATTTATAAGATATGCTGAATAATTTATTTATTTTGCCTACACATACACTATAATGCACAACAAATCCCTGTTGCTAATCATTTATTAAAAATGATACGTAACAAGACACAGCAGTGTATCCAAAAAAGGGGTATGGCAATACAGTGTTTTTAGTGAAGGAGATAACTCTGGCCACAATTCTCAGTCCATGAGAACAATACAGTTTGGCTGTGATTATTCTCTCTTGGCACCTATTGAGCACTTACACTGGACTAAACAGGGTGGCTGAAAGTGTGCCAGCATTCCATCCTTTGCTGATCTGGGATAGGTCACCCAATTTCTCCTGGGCTTTCTATTATGACACTGAGCTACCAGAAAGCTACAGTCATTCTCAGGAATAGACCACACTTTTTTCACCACAGTGCACTACCTCTTGCCAGTCACCAACACTAATACAATATCTTTAATGGCTGGGAAATCAGCACTGGTTGTCATGTTTCACATGACTGTCATATTGACTGTCATATGCCTTTAAATGTTTTCAGTGTTTTGTCTCTGCTCCTCCCTTTCCTTTAGTTTAGCTAATGTTGCATAGATAGCCCTCCCCCTTTCCCAGAGATGCATTGCAGTAAGCCTCATGG